CTTAAGTTGGGCTTTCCGTTCCTTTTGACTTCTTCCCCCTTCTCCCATTAAAGCGAGAGTTTACTCTCAAGGAAGCCTCATTCCTAGCTCATAGGCCTGAAGATGCCGGGGTAGCCCAACGGTCCCTACTTCTTGGGTGCACCCGGGAACTTCCCTCTCTGGGGATGGCCCACGGGGACTGGACTGCCTGGGACATGCAGGGTGTTCCTTCAGCAATGCAAGGAAAATCCTTGTGAAGCGTTCACTGAGCCTCAGTTGTAATTCAGCTTCAATTGTAAGTGCTCTGGACTGGGCCAAGATGCGATTTGCCCAAGTGTGAATTCACTGTTATTTGATTAGTAAAGATCACTTGATTAGTAAAGAGGGATGTGAAGTTGGCCTTGGCTGGAAATCTAACCACACGAGAGCTTTAAGCAAAGTCCATGCTGGCATTGTTTCCGCTGCAAGCTGACTTCAGGTGACATCTTTTGCTTCTAGAAAACAATATTCCAGACATGAATAAGAAACTATGAGTCACAAAATAAGCCTAATACTAGGCTTGTGCCATGACTGCTTTTAGACCATTGTATTTTAGTGCTTAATTATCTGTTTGCTATAAAAGTTGGCAATCTTGGCTTTCCTCTCCAATGTAAACAAAATAATATTTCTTAATTCCTTCACTACTTATTGGTATAATAGGAACTTTCCATTTTTTTTTTTTCTGTTTTCCATTTCTGTGTAGTTTAGAATGGGAATGGGAACTTTTCAAGGAAACTTTTTTTAAGTAGGCTCTGCATCCAGCATGGAGCCCAGTACAGGGTTTGAGCTCCGAACCCTGAGATCAAGACCCAAGCTGAGGTCAAGAGTCAGATGTTTAACTGACTGAGCCATCTAGGCACCCCAGAGATTTTCTTTCTTTTTTTTTTTTAAGTTTTTTTTTTTTTTTAAGATTTTACTTATTTATTTGACAGAGATCACAAGCAGGCAGAGAGGCAGACAGAGAGAGAGGAGGAAGCAGGCTCCCCGCTGAGCAGAGAGCCCGATGCGGGACTCGATCCCAGGACCCTGAGATCATGACCTGAGCTGAAGGCAAAGGCTTTAACCCACTGAGCCACCCAGGCGCCGCCCCCCGCCCCCCCACAGACTTTCTTTTTAAAGATTTTATTTATTTATTTGAGAGAGAGACAGTGAGAGAGAACATGAGTGAGGAGAAGGTCAGAGGGAGAAGCAGACTCCCCATGGAGCTGGGAGCCCGATGTGGGACTCGATCCCGGGATTCCGGGATCATGACCTGAGCCGAAGGCAGTCGTCCAACCAACTGAGCCACCCAGGCGTCCCCAGACTTTCTTTTTAAAGAGTCAGTTTTTCCTTGTGATGAATCTGAGGTAAAAATAGAATTTTTATCAACAAGCCCCCGTTACCAATGGCAAAAAAACTATTGTTACTGAGGAAGAGTTTCAAGGAGAGGTTTTTTTTTGTCAGCTATGACACATCTAGGTGGCTTGGCAATCTGGGGTCCAGATTCAGCTTTGGCAGTCCACAAATTTGATTTCCTCAGCTCCCTGAGAGATGAGCAGATTCAGGGGTATTGACTGTGCTGTTAATAGATCCGTACATTCTCTTCTTAGCAGCAAAATCTAGGGGAAGTCAGATGACATTCGGTGTTTGCTTGGTGAGCATGGAGTCTGGGCCAAAGGAAGGGGGATGATCTGCGCGGTGTATGTCAGCCAGCTGTGGGAGCTGGATGTCCTTTCCACTCCAGAGGCAGTGTTGTAGAGCAGCGCCCATTGTTCCTCCTCTTGGCTGCTGAGGCTGTCTTTCCTGCTGGCCCAGTGCTGGAATCGGAGTGTGAATAGCTTCCCTTGTTAAAAGAGAACACAAAACCCTCTAAGGTTTGAGCAGATGAGAACTCTGGAAGACGAGACGGTGCATGCAGACACCTGCTTATTTTCTTGGATTTTCCCTCTCCTTCCAGTTCCCTTCCTTTGATTCTGGCCGTTAATCACCATCTTCACCCCCAGGGGCCTGGGGTGCCCTCTAAAAAATTGGCCAAAGCCAAACATCATTCTCTTTCTGTTATTGTTCTCAGCACAGCTGAGATAGGCTGGAATAGTCAATGGATATCAATTTAATTTTATTAAAATTAAGAGAAAGCTAAAGAAGTGAACATGGACTGAAATTATGAAATCATCAGGCTGATGAAGGATAGATTTTTATACCCGAGCTTGGTGTAAAATGTTGGGAAATCTAAGCCAAACAGTTAATCATGACCAGGTTAAACAATGACTTCATCTTCTCAAGTGATGAGGCAGAGTATTGCCTTTTCAAAGGACTTTTCCTCTGGTGGGGCACATGTAACTGAGTAGCTCAAACCCTGTCTGAGCCTGGTTTACTTTTGCAGGTTAACAATCTCATTTTAACAGATTCTTACATACGAAATGTTCATTTCAAGCTTAGAGTTGTGTCACTTCTGACATTGTCTTCAAATTCTGGGGCTACTTCACAAAGCCCAGAATGTACTGCTTACCAAATAAGTCTGCCGGAGTCATTAAGAATGACTTCTTTTCCAGCTCTTGTAGAGTCTCACTAGGAATACATTTAAAAAATACTCAATACTTTTCAATCAATAGCAGCCATTGTTTTTGAGGCTCAAAATTGTCCATCTTTGGCTAATAGTAGCCTATTCATGTGGCTCTTATGTCCTTTTGACATGACCTCATTAGTCTTGGAGCACTTGCTTACTTCCTTAGCTAATCAAAAATGGTTTAGGCTCATCTTGTACTTTTTTCAGGCTCAGTCCTAGAATCAGTCAGACTTCAAAGAAGCCCTGATTCTTTTTAGTGGCGAATAGTTTTTAGAGACCACAACCTGGGTGCCGTAGGTGTTCATTAGTTCTAACCGTACTCGGGATATAGAGTTGACCTTGAACAACATGGGTTTGAACTGTGTTCATTTATAAGTGGATTTTTTTCAAGAAGTACTGTAAATACATTTCCTGAATGATTAAGATTTTTTCTCTAGCTTTATTGTAAGAATACATATTTAATACATAAAACACACCGAAGTGTTTTTTAAATTTTTTTATTTTTAAGTAACTGTCTACACCCAATGTGGGGCTCGAACTCACAACCCAGAGATCAAGAGTCACATGCTTTACTGACTGAGCCAGACAGGTGCCCCAAAAGTTTGCATAGGAATTAATTTTTAAAAAGATTTTATTTATTTATTTTACAGAGCTTGTTGGCTGGGGAAGGGACAGAGGTGGAGGGAGAGGGAGAAGGAGGGAGAATATGAAGGAGACTCTAGACTCAGCGCAGACTCCCAACACTGTCTGGCAGATCCCAGGACCTTGAGGTCATCACCTGAGCCAAAATCAAGGGTCCCCGCTCAACTGACTGAGCCACTCAGGCACTTCAGGAATTAACTTTTTTTTTAAAATAAGCTCTATATTCAACATGGAACTCAGGACCCCGAGACCAAGTGTTGCATGCTCTACCAACTGAGCCAGCCAGGTGCCCCATCCAAATATGAGTTAATTGACTATTTATGTTATTGGTAAGGGTTCTGGTGAATAGTAGGCTATTAGGTCAAAACTTATTTGTAAATTTTCCACTGTGGGAGGGGAGGGAGGAAGGTTGACCCCCCTAACTCCCCTTTGTTCCTTGTTCAAGTTCAACTGTGTATGTATTTTTGGGGGAAAAAAAAAAAGAGGGCACGCTGGGTGGCTCAGTCCATTAAGCAGCTGCATTCAGCTCAGGTCATGATCCCGGGTTCTGGGATGGAGCCTCCTTCCCCCTTGTCCTAGGGCTCCCCGCTCAGTGGAGAGTCTGCTTCTCCCTCTCCTTTGCCGCTACCCCTACTTAGGCTCGCTAGCTCTCTCCCTCTCTCTCTCCTCTCAAATAAAATCTTAAAAAAAAAAATTAAAGACATTTGACAAATGTCTCGAGACATTAAAAAAAAGTTCATACTAGTATTTCCAATTTAAATATAATATTGCAGGATTTAAAAACCCTTAATTTCTCTGTGTACTTGTATTTCCTCTCACACTGAAAAGATCTTGGTTCCTTTTGACAGTAACAATTATTTGCTTTATCCCATAGCATACATGAGAATTAAAAGAAATCAATATCAAATAACAATAATGCTACTTGTTGACATTTAAGATTTCCTTGCAGCTCAATTTGCTGTTGGAATATATAGAACCATCGATGTACAGTCATAATACTGTATTCTAAAACAACTTACTAATTTTTTCCCTGTATTCTTGTGCCATCAACAGGATATTCAGTTAGGTTCACTTGTTTCCATTCATTTTCATTTTTTCTTTTTATTAATATGTTATTCCAGAGTCAAACTATGTAAGGTGCATCCAGAAGACCTCTCAGTTTTCCATTCCTCTTTATTCCACACTGTTCCCTCCCATATAAATATCTTTTAGTTTTGGTTTATCCATGTAGTGTTCCTTTTCTAAATATTAGCAAATACAAATGTCTCTATTTCCTTCCACATCATTTCCTTCCTTATTCCTCATTCATTTTTATGATTAATATTCGATTGGTTATTGTCATGGTTTAAGAATGACTTTAAAAAAAAAACAGTGGTGATAGTTAATAGTTCTAAACTACTCAATCTCCGGATGGAGAGAGGAGGAAGCACTTAAAAAAAAAAAAACTGCTTTTAAATGTGAACACTTTTTTCTTAAAGGCTATTCTTCCAAGAGAAAGAACCATTATTATTATTTTTTACGTGCTTCCCTTGCCTGTCTAAGCTGCTAGGAGTTTAACACAATTTGGGATGAAGCTTGTGCTTCACCATCTGCCAGCTTCTCTGCCACACTGCCAGATTCATCCTTCCGGCCGCTGTCTCTTCTGACGCTGTTTGGTTAGGTGGACTCTCGCATCTCTCGGATATTCTGCACCTGAGACTTGCCCTCTTTGGTGGCCCCTTCCAGCTCCTCCCAGATCTTGGGAAGAGCACAGCAATCTCCCGCTGCTTCGGGTCCCTGGGCGCAGTTGTTCCCCCGGCAGCTCTCCAGTTCCCAGGCTCCCGGGCTCCGGGGTTTCCAGGCTCCGCAGCTCTGCGGCTCCCGGCTCCCGGGCGCAGATGTCGGGAGCCCGCGGGGCGCTGGGGAGCTAGGGCCGCCCCGCCTGCGCACAGTGATGCCGGGATTGGGGGCGGGAGCACCGCCTTCGTCTCCCGCGCGCTCCCTCGCTCCCGCCCTCTTCCCCGCCCCAAGCCGTCTCCTGCCTCAGCCGTGCAGGCGCCGCACTGCAGATGCCTGCCGACCGCTCCGCGCTCGGCGGCTTCTGCGGTACCCCGCAGGTCCCTTCGACCGTCGGGCGCCGGCCGCACTCTCGCTGCCCCGGAGGGTCCCTCGGCTAAGCGGACTCGCCAAGTCCCGCGCGCGAAGCCGCTACGCGGGCGGGGTAGCGGGGACCCAGGCGGACCGCGGCCGCGCCGGAGCCCGGAGCGCTCTCGAATGCGGCAGGACAAGCTGACCGGCTCCCTGAGGCGCGGAGGGAGATGCCTGAAGCGGCAGGGTGGCGGCGGCGGCGGCGGCGGCGTGGGCACCATCCTGAGCAATGTGCTCAAAAAGCGCAGCTGCATTTCTCGGACCGCGCCCCGGCTGCTCTGCACCCTGGAGCCGGGTGAGGACCCGGGGCTGCAGATGGGGCACTGGAAAGTAGCGTGGCGCCCCGGAACTGGTGCCTTTGCCTCAGTTGGACTCAGCCTAGGCCGGGGAGCGCTTGCGGGCCGCGGGGTGCAGGGTACCGCGGCTTGGCGCAGGCGGGGCTGGGTTGGTCTGGGAGGGAAGAGGGCGGGCGAAGGCCTGGGAGCGGGCAGCGGCCTCCCAAGGCTGGGAGGACCCGATACCGCCGGCGGGTCCCGATCCCGCGGCCTGTGCGCGGTCTAGCCCTATTTGTGCCGGGAGCTTCGGGCGAGCGGCGCGCTCAGCCCTGTGCGCGTGGTGGGGAAGTGTCCGCGGCTACCCGGGCCACCAGAGGCCGCGCAACCAATTGTGCTCTCGGTTCACAGGAAGCCAGATCTTGAAAGAGGTGCGTGAGGTGGAGAAAGGCACAGATATGATACTTGGGGACGGACGGGAAGGCAGCGGCTGCGAAGGAAAAATTGGGGGCATTTTCCTGAGGTTCTGTGCGGTGTGAGTGCCAGGGTCAGCTCGCCTGGAGCCTTTAATTTGTGTGTCCGTGTGCGGAACGGGTAGGAAACACTCTTGCAAGTAGAGATTCTTTCTTAGAGCCAAAGTCCGGGAGCTCGCCTTGCTTGCTAGGCTAGGCCCCTTATGCTGCTAGCTTGTGTTTACACATCCCTGCTTCTCTAGGCTGCATAACTCCGCGTCTGATCCACCGCCCAGTATCCCTCCCTGGGGTTTTATGGGCCCGGCCCTGGCGCGGGCGCCTGGGACAGAGAGCTTTCTGGCAAGGGGTGGCCGCAGAGGGAGCCGGCTGCACTCTCATCGGTGCTTAGCGCTGCTCGCTTGTCCCCAGCGTCGCCCCAGCGGGGTTCCAGACGACTTTGTCCTCCCCGAGCCCCTGCCTCCCAGCGCCATCGGGAACCTGCTATCCTGAGGCTGCAGGAGAGAATTTGACGAGGCGCGGAACCCCAAAGGGTGGGACGCTTGACTGCCTTTACGAACCTTGTGGTTTCTTTGTTTTTCTCCCCAAGGAAGTGTCTAATTGCAGAGACTGTAGTATTTATTCACCATCTTCCTTTACCCTTAAAAAAAGCTTCTTCCCACGTTAAAAGTGTTTTGTATTTCTGAATCCGGAACAGCCGTGACTATCAGATGAAACATAAACCTTCTCCCCTCCCTTACTCAGAAGAAAAGAGGGAAAATGACCTGATTTCAGCTATCGCATGCAGGTGGTGAATGATCAATTCCAGTTAAATCCTGTGACTCATTTTAGATCGTGAGAAAATAGTTGTGGTTTAGACTAACCCCAGCCGGTTTTCAGCACCTGATGCCCAGCAGGTGCTCTGAAAAAGCAAAGGGAGCATATTCGGTCATACGGTCAGGGAATCCAGAGATTTTAGGTCGGTTGAAATAACAACTCCGCGCGGACAGAATTTTCTTGCCTTTGTTACAATAAAGCAAAAGTCATGACGACATGCTCCTCCGTTCAGCACTCCGCATCTGGACAGCAACCTTACAACAAAGTGTGTTTCTCATAGTGCCTTAAATCATTCGCCCCAGCTGGAGGCAATCATGTGGCCATTGTGTCATTGCTCTGTACGAAAGCAGGACTTCATTTAAATCATCTCAGAGCGATTAGAATTTGAGGGGGTACTTCCCTTGGGGAAGGAAATCTTTTCAGGCAGAATATGCTTGTGGTCTTGAAGCTTTGAAAAGACCTATCAGGGCATTGACTGGATGCCTGGGATTCTGTAACACAGCTTGACTTTAGAAATCTAGGACCCAAGTCTTGTATTCACAGTACTCTTCTAGGACTTCCAAGAAGGGCATCTGCACACTGTCATGGGCGTGGGCAAATTGTATATTGCTTGAGTCCACAAGTCTACTTTATTTATTATAATTCTAAATTCTGAAGATAGTTTCTATCTACATACCAACTCCTAAGCAGTGGAAGGTGTCAGGAGGTTTTCCGTATGCCTAATCTGCAGTCAACATCTTAGAAGCAAACATACTGTCATAAATGAGAATCATAAATTTTAAAACTGAAATGCTGTTAATAATGTTTGATATATCTTGATCCTTGAACTTTTAATAATCTTTAAAAAATGACTTGAAATATGATTTAATTGATCTTGAAATTGTAGAAAAAAATAACATTTTCAGATTTGATTTTATTATTTTTTAAAGATTTTGTTTTATTTATTTGAGAGCAAATGAGAGAGAGAGTAAGCACCAACAGAGAGAGAGAGTGCATGTGCAAGCTCCAGCAGTGGGGGAGGGGCAGAGGGAGAGGGAGAAGCAGACTCCCCATAGAGCAGGGGGCCTCACACTGGGTTTGATCCCAGGACCTTAGGTTCATGACCTGAGCCGAAGGCAGACGTTTAAAAACTGAGCCACAGACATCCTTGATATTATTTCCTTCAGGAACAACAGCACACACATCTAACATGGGATTCATAAGAGCCCAATGTGAATATTGCATATAGTCTTTGTATATTATAAGCACATTGTCTAGATATATTTTCCTATTTATTTTCTCCTCTTCCTTAGATTTGGGACTGGAATCAAAGAAGTTTATTTAAAGTTGTAGACAACTTGGAATTAGAGCTCAGTTATATTTTTAGCTTGTAGTCTATGATTAAACATACCAACTGTTTTATCTTCAATGAGCAAGTGTATCATGACAGAATTTTAAGATACATGAAAATCTCTAAATAAGATTGTTAACGTGGATTATTCCACAAGTGAGAAGGCAGTGACATTATTTTCATAACTTTTAATATTTCACTGAGGTTTCCTACGTCGACTTAGTTCATGCATGTCTTAGAAAACAAATTCTGTAAGTAGAGAATTATCTTCCTAAATTTCATAAATATAAATTATACTGTGCTAGGTGATTTATAGTTAATCATCACAATACTCAGTCTACTGAGATAGATATTATTACCCTCATTTTAAAGATAAAGAATTGAGGGGCTCCTGGGTAGCCCAGTGGGTTAAGCCATGGACTCTTGGTTTTGGCCTAAGTCATGATCTCACGGTCCTGAGATCCAGCCCTGCCTGGGCTCTGCTGTGGGCATGGAGCCTGCATAAGATTCTCTCCCTCTCCCTCCAAGTGTGTGGTGTCATTTTTTTTTTTTTTTTTTACTACTCCAGACAGCTGTGGAAGCCACCATTCTATGTGATAAGCTTCATTCTAATGGCCACAGGATATTTTTCTATTTTAAAAATCAATATTGTTACCTTTTATTTTAACAAAATTGACTAAAATTTAGCAAAAAATATATATTCTAAAAATTTATGATGATTCAGTAGAATCAGGTTAATTTTTACTTTTATTTTTGGTCTAACTTGGTATTTTCTTCCAAAATAACAGTTATATATTTTTCTTTTAGGAGTTGATACAAAGTTGAAGTTCACTCTTGAGCCATCTTTAGGTCAAAATGGTTTTCAGCAGGTAACTATTTTTGGTTATTGAAAATACTCTTATTTGGGGGAATCTACAAGGCACACAGGGTATATTTTCGAAGTAGGAAAACTAACATATACTTTACTACACATAAGGCACGTCAGTTTTTAAAATTATAGATAAATTAACTTATGAGTTTATAAATGGCCTGTGTTTATACCTGCAACGAAAAATTTTGTACTTGCTATTAATGGTGCAGTGTGAAAAAAAATTTAAAAAACGGAATATCTATTATTTTGAATCCATAATACATATTTTTGTTTCTGAACTAGAGCTTCCCAGCCATTGTGTGTGGACGCAGGTCTCAGGTGTCTTAAGAGGACCTCAGGTGGGGGGTGGAGCCTGGCTGAAAGAAGCTCTGTTTACCTCAGTGTGCTGTACAAATTTTCTCATACTTTCTGGATGTCAATATAGGAAAAAGGTTGAAAAGTGCTTATCCAGGTCAATATTATCACTTTGCCAATGTTTTTTTCTCTGTTCCTAGTGGTATGATGCTCTGAAGGCAGTTGCCAGGCTGTCAACAGGTATACCAAAGGAATGGAGGAGAAAGGTAAGGGGGATACAAAGGGCTAAAATACAAAAGGATCGGCACTCTGTTCCTCTTTAAAATGTCTGAAATGTCCAAAAGAACATTCTAGATTTAGTAATTTGAAGGCTGTCTCTCTTCATGATTTATTCATCTAGTAATATTTATTGATTATCGATTCTATGCCAAGTACTGTTCCAGGTCCTGAGGATACAGGAGTGGGAGGATAAATAAAACAGACCCAAATTTTCCTCCTCACGGAGTTTACAATGCATACAATATAATGTATGTCAGATGGTGATAAGTGCCATGCATAAAAATAAAGCAGAGAACGAAAGGAGAGCTGTGGGGGTGGGGGAATGGAGATAAGGAGGTGGCATTTTAAATAGCAAGGTAAAATTTGAATAGGGCCCTGATGGTGGTGAGCAGGGGTGAGGGGAGCTACCTGGGGGACCAGCACTCCAAACAGGAAGCACCCTCCCACAAGATCGTCTCCAGAGTATGCAAGCACAAGGAAGGCACTGGGGGTGCTGAGCACAGTGAACCAAGGGGAAAGCATTTGGAGAGAGGGTTATAGAGGTAAATGTGATGGGGGTCAGGAGATGGCAGGTCATGTAGACATTTGAAACTGCAGTAGGAGCTTTGCCCAGTCTCAGACGGGAAGCATTGGGAAGTTTTGAGGTGGGGAGTAACATGATAAAACTTATATTTTAAAAGGACCTCCCTGGCTTGATAATATGAAGGACAAGGGCGGAAGCAGGGAGATCGTGGAAGACTTGGGGTAATTCAGGCAAGAGGTGGATCAGGGTTGCCATAGTGGAGATGGAGAAAAGGGGTCAGAGTCTAGATGTATTTTGAAGGCTAAGTGGACATGGATTCCTTAGATTGAATATAAGGTATGTTGTTCTGATGCTTGGGAGAAAAATCTGGCTGGGGATATTGATCAGTGTACCTCCTGCTAAATTATGTTCAAATACCAAAACTTGAAGTGCTTTCTTAATATATTAATTTACAAATCTAGTCTTTTTTTTTAGTAACATATAATGTATTATTTGTTTCAGGGGTACAGGTCTGTGATTCATCAGTCTTACACAATTCACAGCACTCACCAGAGCACATACCATCCCCAATGTCCATTGCCCAGCCACCCCATCCCTCCCACCCTCCTCCCCTCCAGCAACCCTCAGTATAAACCTAGTCTTAATACCTTTAGAATTTGAACATTGGGGGTTCCCCTGTTTCTTACAGAAACAGCTTTTTGGAATAAAGTCATCAAAGGAATAAAAATATCCAGTGACTCTTTTAAAAAAAAGTTATTCATTATGGGACCCCATCTGTCAGTTTTGTGTGTGTGAGAGAGATTGAGGGATGATTTAAAGGCAGAGGCTGCTCCACGGTGAAAAAAGACCCATTCTCCACGAATGTCCAAGTACAGAGAGTGATTCCAAGCCAAGTATAACAAGCTCAGAAGATAGTATAGCTAATCCAGTGAACTGAGATAAGAGTTGAAAAAATTTTTTGTTTCCTTAACAGTATCCCTTCCTAATGGCTGAATCATTGCTTAGTGCATAATAGAAGGTCAACGAATATTAATGGAAATAATAAATGAAAGACCCTAATTGGTGCAATTCAGTATAGCAAACATTTCAATGAAAAGTTGATTTCTACATGTGGATCTGTTCCCATTTTCTTGTTAGCTGCAATCACTTTTTTTTTTTTTAATAAAGAAAGGTGAAATTATTTATTTTACTTTAGGATTCTTCTTTATCTCTTAATATTTTAGGTTTGGTTGACTTTGGCAGATCAGTATTTGCACAGTATAGCTATTGATTGGGACAAAACCATGCGTTTCACTTTCAATGAAAGGAGTAATCCTGATGATGACTCGATGGGAATTCAGATAGTCAAGGTAAGGCCCCTGAATTTCACCTGTTGTTTTGACCTGGAAGGAGGTTTCTAAGAGCCAGATGTTCCCTGGACAGAGGATCAAACCTAATGGTCTGAATGTCCGTATATTTTCTGCTTTCTTATTCCGTTAGTTAACAGCCTTTTAATGGGAACTTTCACTCTGTCTTGTTTTCATAAATTTGCATGTTGGCGGTAAGAAGAAAATGTTCCTATTCATATTCTGTTTACTTGCTCACTTGATAGGAGATTGAAATTTCTTTTTCTTTCTTTAGCATGGGTCAGTGCTGTTAGCTGGATTTTTACATGAAAATTACAGGTTGTGAAATTTAAAGTTAAGTATATTTCATGTTAGAGTGGGTTCTTACTAGGATCTTTGATAATTTCTTAACTGCCAATTTATGAAGATAGTCAGATTGACTGATGGGTCTACTTAAAACCAGATGGTCAAGGGTTCAAGCCCGCTGTGGAGACAGCTGTGGTTTGCCTACTGGGATTATTACAATTGATTGGGGTCTGTTGCCAAAAGCCAAGGTTGCTGATTCAATTTGATCCCACTCTTGTTCTCTTATATAAGCCTCTAACACATGGCTTTTGGTTTTATATGAGTTCATTACAGTATAATGCTAAGCTCGGGTTTTTTTTATTTTTATTTTTTTAAAAGATTTTATTTATTTATTTGACATATAGACAGCAAGCAAGGGAACACAGGCAGGGGGAGTGGGAGAGGGAGAAGCAGGCTTCCCGCTGGGCAGGGAGCATATCAGGGAGCCTGGATGGGGTGGGGGGTTAGGAAGTGGGGATGGGGGGTGTTGGGGAGCTCGAGGGGCTTGATTCTGATTCCAGGACCCTGGGATCATGACCTGAGCCAAAGGCAGACACTTAACAACTGAGCCACCCAGGCACCCCTAAGCTGGAGTTTTAAAAGGGAAATTGTCTCTCATTAATTTTGGCCACCAGAATTTGGCTAAGGTTTTGACAGATTTGAAGATACTTTTTTCATGAAGAAGTCCTAACTATGAAAGGAGCTGCTTTATGATCTAACTCAGTCCGTTTCAGACAAATGTTAAAAAGAATGATGAAATTCTATTTTGTATGTTTATAAAGCCTGGGCACTGTCCATATTTTAACTGTTTATTTGGAATTTCAGAATGTTTCTCAGAGATGAAGTATTCCATGTTTGAAATGTTTTCTTTCTGTTTAAATTGTGAGTTAAGGCAGTATACATTTTATAACAATCATGTTATTTAGAGGATCTTTAATTTTTCTCATTGACGTGAATGCTGTGTCAGTAAAATGACATTAGCTCCTGAAAATCATAATCTCTGCTTAGTTATTAAATTATATATATTGCCTTCATTAAATACTAAAGCACGATAGATGTTTATTTTTTATACAAATTTATAAAATAATTTGGATAGATTTTTCTGTCTTGGACAGAGTGATTTTCCTGTCTCTCTACAGTATTGCATTTTTTGCTATTTTGATATTGCTCCTTAACATTATTTGGAGTTTTGATAGTTGAATATTACATCTCATTTCAGAGAAAGGAATAATACTAGCACTGATCATGCATACATTGAAATGACTCTTATTTTATCCGAGACATAGTATTAAAAGAAACTTTCAGTTTATATAGAAATAGAATGTAATTTCTGTTAATTGAGTCACTTTTGTATTAATTCTGGAAATACTTTAAATTTTGACAGAAAATTCTGAAGAAGGTTAGAAAATTTGCCTGACTGAAATTGCTCTTGACAGTGTTCTAAGTCAACTACATCTCAATAAAACTGGGAAAAAAATGTATCTTAGCATATTAGAAAAATTTAGGAAAAAGAAAATTTTAAAAATTGTTTTGGCCCATGTGTATAGGGTACATAAACATTTTTAAAAGCTAAAAATCCATGCTGATAATCTGATTCTATTTAATGCTGAGACAAAGTTAAAGGCATTTTTTGGAGAGACTATAAGGAGACATTTTTAAAAAAATATTGTTTGCCTTCTTCAGGATCTTCACCGCACAGGCTGCAGTTCCTACTGTGGCCAGGAGGCTGAGCAGGACAGGGTTGTGTTAAAACGGGTCCTGTTGGCCTATGCCCGATGGAACAAGAATGTTGGGTACTGCCAAGGCTTTAACATCCTGGCTGCTTTAATTCTGGAAGTAGTGGAAGGCAATGAAGGGGATGCACTGAAGGTGAGTATGGGGCTCTGAAGAGGGCAGTTGAAATTCTTCTGAGAGTGATATACTGGAACTGTCATTCCTCTTCCCTGATGGCCATTTGCTATACCTTGTAATGACCCATAATCACCACTTCCCCCATGTTAAAGCCAGGTCAAGTGATGGACTCACATATCTGCCAGATGTGAGGAGAATGATTGTTTTTGATCCCATAGATAAAACATCACATTTTTAAAGCAAGCTGAATATGAATTGTATTAATTTTTCGTGATTTGTAACAAATTAGCTGCTTAAAATAGCAAACATGATTTACCTCACAGTTTCTTTGAGTCAGGAACCTGGGTGCACTGTAGCTGGCTCTAAGTCATATTGTTGTGTCAAACTGTTGGCTGGGTCTGCAGCCTCATCCGAAGGCTCAGTTGGGGACAGCATTCACTTCCAGGTTCATGTGGTTGTTGGCAAGTTTTAATTTCTCACAGGTGGCTGGCCCAGGGCCTAGGTTCCTGGTTGGCTATTGGCTGGAGACCTTTTTTAGTTCTTTGCCATGTCTCCATCTTACAACAAGGTGGCTGGCATCCCTCAGAGTGAGTAGGAGAGTAAAAGAGAATGAGCAAGGCAGGAGAGATTAAACTGCAGATTTGTACCCTAATGCCAGAAGCTGCATTCCATCTTTTTTGCCTTATTCTGTTCATTAGAAGCCAGTCATTGGGTCCAGCTCTTACTCAAGGGGAAGGGCTCAATAAGAATGTGACTATCAAGAGGTGGAGGTCATAAGGTCGTCATGTTAGAAGCTGCCTGCTCCACAAGTTATGTTTAATTCCGGTTGGATCTTTTTATTGCTTTACTATCTCATAGATGGGGAGTGGTATGGAGGAGGTAAGCTGAGAGTACATGTATACGATGGAAGGTATTTGCATGGAAAAAGGTTATGGAAGTGAATTATATTTTGTTATCTTTTAATCTTCAATGCCTGGAACCTTTTTCAGTAAAACATTTTGGAAACACTTTGAGATGGGTTACAAACAATTTAAGCTAATAAATTGGAATGGAGTCCGTGAGTCACCAGAAATAATCTTTATGAGAAATGAAGCATTTCACATGCACAGGATGGCTGCTTGCTTATTAGCCTGGGGCAGTATGGGATTGCTAATTCATAATTGAACCATCAAACTGCTATGGGTTGTAAATGCTTTGTGATGGATGGGATGGATACTCAGTCTTTGTTTTCAGGAGTCTCCCCCGGCCCCAGCCTTGTGTTTGACTGCGATAAATACCTTAGTGATATTCCCGGGCACTGACTAATGTCATATGGAAAAATAAACAAATGTTCCTCCAGGTTTTATATGCGTCATGGTGGAATTAATTATAAACCCAGCCTGACCTAGTCTAAGTCTGTATTCACCCTTTCATTTTTTCCATTCCTGTACTTCAGGAAATAGCTCTGAAACTCCTTCTTCGTCACATTAAGTGGGGGAGAGGGGAGCCAATGACAAATCAAATACATGAGTTCAAAACATTTTTTATTAAGCCTTTGTTTTGCTCAGTTATCAGCTTTAGTTGATTTTGTTCTTTTCAGATGTTATTTCTGTGACTATAAAAAGGACTGTTGAAAAGTTGGAATAAGCAATTCAGGTTAGGAGTGAGGTGGAGAGGTCTGGGGGCGGGGAAATACTTGCCATTCAAATCATGAAAGAAACTCCTTGACAAACTAAAAATTCACATAAAAAAGATGGATGAGATAAAGCTGAGGAACTGAATATTTATATTTCTGTCTCTAAGAAAACGAACTCCGTGAGATGAAATGACATCATCATCATTTCAGAATCTTGTGGTTAGACATTGAATATGCAGAGGAAGATTGGATTCATGAAGAATCACTTCAGATGCAAGGGAAAATATTGGGGTCAGTGTTTTTTAGCTGCCACTTTGGCCCCTGCAAGTTTTAATTATTAAACAAGTAAATAGTTTATTTGAGAAGTAGTTAAACCATTTTGCCTGCTTTTCAGCACTTACTGTTTTTTCTTAGTAACTGTTTTTAACTATTTGTTAAAATGTTTAGGCTCCTTCATTATTTACTTTTAAAAAAATATGTAATTTTTTTAGAGCAGTTTCAGGTTCACAGCAAAATTGAGAGGAAGGTACAGAGATTTTCCATATACCTCTTGCTCCCACAAGTGTACAGCTTCCCCACTATCAACATTCCCCACCAAATGTGCATTTGTTACAATCCATGATTGTAACATGGATTACAATCCACAGGTTGCCTGGTGCAGGTCATAGTCGCCTAAATTGCATAGTTTACATTAGAATTCACCCTTGGTGTTGTACATTCTGTGGGTCAGACGGATGTTTAATGACGTATCTTTATCGTTATAATATTCATCCAGAGTGTGTTTACTGCCCTAACAATCCTCTGTGCTCTGCTGGTTATCCCCCTGCCTTTCTCCCCTACCCCCCACTACCTGGGCAACCACTGATCTTTTTATGATCTCTTGCTCTATCCTGATGTCATATAGTTGGAATCATACAGTATGTAGCCTTTAAAGATTGGCTTCTTTCACTTTGTAATAAGCCTGTAAGGTTCCTTCCTGTCTTTTCATGGCTTGGTGGCTCATTTATTTTTAGGGCTGAATAATACTCCACTGTCTGGGTATGCACGGTTTATCTGTTCACCTACTGAAGGACGTCTCTGCTGCTTCCAAGTTCCAGCAAATATAAATAAAACTGCTATAAACATCTGTGCACAAGTTTTTGTGTGGACATGAGTTTTCAGCTCCTTTGGGTAAATACCAATGAGAGTGATCGCTGGATCAGATGGTGAAAGTATATTTAGTTTTGTGAGAAACCACCACACTGTCTTCCCAAGTGGCTATAGAATTTTGCATTCCCACCAGCAATGTGTGAGAGTTTCTGTTGCTCCACATCCTTGTCAACATTGGGTGTTGTGTGCATTCCAGATTTTGGCCATTCTTTTTCTTTCTTTCCTTTTTTCTTTCTTTCTTTCTTTTTTTTTTTTTTTAAGATTTTATTTATTTATTTGACAGAGAGAGAGATCACAAGTAGGCAGAGAGGCAGGCAGAGAGAGAGGGGGAAGCAGGCTCCCTCCCAAGCAGAGAGCCCGATGTGGGGCTTGATCCTAGGACCCTGGGATCATGACCTGAGCCAAAGGCAGAGGCTTAACCCATTGAGCCACCCAGGCGCCCCTGGATTTTGGCTATTCTAATAGGTGTGTGCCGTGGTGTCCTGTTTTAATTTGAATTTCCCTGATGATATATGATGTGAATCATTCTTTCATATGCTTATATCCCATCTTTTTTTTTTTTTTCTTATATCCCATCTGAATGCATCTTTGGCAAAGTACTTGTTTGTACTTTGTACTCTACCATTTTTTTTTTTTAAGATTTATTTATTTATTTGACAGGCAGAGATCACAAGTAGGCAGAGAGGTAGCCAGTGGGGGGGGGGAATTAGGCTCCCCGCCAAGCAGAGAGCCGGATGTGGGGCTCGATCCCGGGACCCTGGGATCATGACCTGAGCCGAAGGCAGAGGCTTTAACCCACTGAGCCACCCAGGTGCCCCTGTTTGGTCCATTTTCAGTCACATTATTTTATTTGGAGTTTTAAGAATTCTTTGTATATTTTGGATAACAGTCTTTTATCAGATACGTCTTTGACAAATATTTTCTCCCAATCTGTGGCATGTCCTTTCATTCTCTTGACATTGTCTTTCACAAAACCGAAGTTTTTAATTTTGAAGTAATCTAGCTTACCAATGGTTTCTTTCATGGATCGTGTCCTTGCTCTTGCATCTAAAAAGTCATAACCATACCCAAGGTCATCTAGGCTATGTTATCTTCTAAGAGATTTATAATTTTGCATTTTACATTTAGGTCTGCGTTCTCTCTTGAATCATTTTTTGGTGAAAGGTGTAAGGTTGTATCTAGATTTAGTTTTTGGCATGTGGACGTCCAATTGGTCCAGCACCATTTATTGGAGACACTATTTTTGCTCTATTGCCATTATTTATCTGAATTTTTTTAAAAAGATCTAATGCTTGGGGACGCCTGGGTGGCTCAGTGGGTTAAAGCCTCTGCCTTCGGCTCAGGTCATGATCTCAGGGTCCTGGGATCGAGCCCCGCATCGGGCTCTATGCTCAGCAGAGAGCCTGCTTCCTCCTCTCTCTCTTCCTACCTCTCTGCCTATTTGTGATCTCTGTCTGTCAAATAAATAAATAAAATCTTTAAAAAAAAAAGACCTAATGTGTGGTCTTCAAAATGTATCAGTGGGTGGAATGACCCACCTAGCACGACACACGGCTGTCTCTGATGCCCTATGTGAGACTTTGAGATGCCTTTGGACAGAGAATTTCAGTGTGTCACAGGAATTACTATGATAACTGAAAATTTTTGTTTTTCTTGTTTCATGTAATTTTGAGAGATCATCATTTCTTCAGAAAAGCTAAAGTATCTCTCTCAGTATTATATCCTTAGATAAAAAGTGCCATAATAGACCATTACCTTTAAATATTGCCTTTGTGAGCCTGTCCATCCCTCTTCTCCTTACTCAGAGAGGGCAGTCTTCTCTGCTGGACATCTGTACCCCCTCATCAGCTGGCCCTAGTCCCTCCAGGACCTCCTTCCTCCACACAGATTGAATCTACTGTTCTCCTTTTATTGCTCAGCTCCCCCGGTAATAAAGGTCTCAGAGGGACTCTCTCAAGAGAATGGCCCAGTCCTTATTGGCTTAGTCAAAACACTGACCCTAGAAAGTAGAAATTGAAAGCCAGAGATGAGGGAAAGATGGGCCCTTGTCAGGTCTGGGAGATAATTTTCTTGGGAAATAGAGTTTTGTGTTAGACTGAAAATTAAAATGTGAGACCATGATATAGGGCCAGCTATGATTTTATTCTTAATTTTGTTTTTCCTGTGCTCCGGGGAGTGAGTGGTCTTCTAGGGAGGAGGAGCACAGCAGAAGATACGAGCTGACAGAGTAAGGACCAGAGATTGACACACAGAACTCGTGTGTTTTGCTGGGTCATTCTGGTGGTTCTTGACATCTTAGCAAAGGTAATACAAATAGAAAAGTAAGAATGAAAATAGTAATTTGAAGAACTTGTGAGATAATCTTATGAAAGAAATCCAGACTTTGAAAGTACCACATGTTCAAACAAAATCCTTGTTGCATTGTCCTGGGAGAGGAAAGTGGACGGAAAGCCACTCTCAGTTCCAATAACCAGGTTGATGCTAAGTGCGTCTCTAGACTTGCTTTCGTTTGAGGCGGGGTGGGGTGAGGTTTATGATGGTTCAGCTCTTGGTTTTCATATGAAGGTTGTGAAACTGTGCTGCCACCAGGGAGCCAGTATGGGATTGCTGCTCGCTGCTGATGGAGCTCGGGCTCCATCACTGAGTGAGGCTGAGCCTTGTACCAGCACAGCTCCTTGGGGGCTGAACTCAGGTCTGGTCGCCCATCTAGAAACTTCAGACAGCAGTGGACTGTGGGTCTGAGTTCCTTTAATAATTACGCCTCTTGCTCCTCACCCAGCGTGGAGATGAGCCACGGAAGTCCAGAACATTCAGTATTGACACATTGGAATGATGGTGTGCTTTGGCTAACTGCATTTTTTAATATGTTCCTTTTATTTGGGACATGTTGGGATCTCAGTGTTTAGGAAGCGATCTTATTCTTTATCTTTTTCTTCAGATTATGATTTACCTTATTGATAAGGTACTTCCTGAAAGCTATTTTGTCAATAACCTCCGGGCTCTGTCCGTGGACATGGCTGTCTTCAGGGATCTCTTGAGCCTGAAGCTCCCCGAGTTATCTCAGCACCTGGACACTCTTCAGAGAACCGCGAACAAGGAAAGTGGAGGTAGTGATGACTCGGCGCCGTTACACCCGTGGGAATATTTCACTCCCCCGATTCCACTGTCCCCCCTGAGCCTAGACCTTGAGCAGAAATACTTGTATTCAGGTGTTTCTGTTCATGAGTGTTTGGTGCATTGAAGTAGATGGTTAGAGAACAAAAACACAACTGAAAAAAAAAATCATAGGGCCCGTGTTGAACCTCAGACTGGTCCTGGTTAGGAAGTTCGTCAAGAACCGAGTACTTTACCAGTCCTGGATGGACACCTCACAGGATACATTGCTCCCTAGGTGGAGAGTCTGTCTTACCATCTAGTTCAGCTGTTCTCAGCTCATACCAACCCATAGGAGTTCTTTAAAGCTGAGCAACTGTACGATTTCACACAGACTGTGCTTTTGCCTGAACCATGGAACCTGTGGAGAGTCAAATATGCATCCCCCTTAAGTTTTAGGAGATAAACCAACAGTCTTTTGGATTCAGATATTCAGTGCTCCCTTTATCTATCCATGGTAGGGGTATTTAGGTTTACTAGAGATGAATGAGTCCGCTCTTTCTGGAGAAGGGCTCCCCGGACCTCCAGGTAAGCTTCAGAACCCTGCAGGGGGGGAGGCCCTGGGTCGAGGGAGGGGTGGAGCCTCTGCTCAGCAAGTGGGAGGCCCTGAGTTGCCGCTGTCTGGTGGGCATGGCCCCGCTTGCTGAGGAGCCCAAGCTCGAGGCTGTGGTCGTACCTGCTGCCTGCATTTGCCTAGCTCTGTGCAGGGGTCCCAGGAAGAATAATGAAGTTTGTTGTGTTTCCTGGAAATGGTTGCCAGTTCCACACCCATGCATTGAAATCTGGGAAAATAGGAAAGGATGTGAGGACCTAATCTGTGATTACAGGACACTGGACATTTTAGTGATGCCTGGCTGTCTCTCAGCATTTCCTTCTCAGCCACCTGAATAATCTTTAATTTGGCTGTGCAGTGCCCTTGCACACCTCTGGAGGTGTCCTAATACATCCGGATAGATTGCCTTGCCTGTCCGATGTCAGATATGCTTTCCTGGGTTCCACCTTTGCCTCCAAATGTCCTGAACTTGCCCGTAAGAGCTGCCCTCAGATTCTTAATTTTCTGAACCATGATGCTCCTTTGTTTTTGCAGAAGAAGAGAGAAAATGAGTGCAGGAGAACAGATCTTGTTTGGCTTATCCTTGGGTAAATGTGTAGTCTGACTAATTTGGAGGGAGAATCAGTTTAAATACCTACATTTTTACATTTCATAAAATACATACTTAATGCCATCACAGGAAGTAGGAGGGAGCTCTGTGTTTTTGGTAAATTCAGAAACTTCAGTGTGAGCTGTGTGATTGTTTAATTCACAATATTTTAAAAATTTCATGTTGTTTAATCTGCAAATACTCTGAGCTTTTCCAGCTCTCTTTCTGTTATGATTTCCAGTTTAATTCCACTGTGGTCTGAGAGCTGTGCATAATTTAAGAAGTAGACAAGTAATTTCATAAAGAGCCATGTTTTTATCAGCAGCACTTGAATAAAAGTGGCCTTTATGAGGTTTCGAAAATTGGATTATACTTTTAAGAGGCTAAAATCCTTTCTTTTTATCCTGTTTTTGGTGAGGAGAGCATTCTCCTTAATTTTCAACACCCCAAAATAGGTAGAGCCAAATTAAGTTTTAGGTTAAGATTTCTGAAATATCGGGGCACCTGGGTGGCTCAGTCAGTTAAGCATCTGCTTTTGGCTCAGGTCATGATCCCAGGGTCCTGAGATTGAGCCCTGCGTTGGGCTCCCTGCTTAGCAGGGAGCCTGCTTCCCCCTCTTCTTCTGCCTACCATTCCCCTCGTTTGTGCTCTCTTTCTCTGTCATATACTAAATAAATAAAATCTTTAGAAAAAGGATTTTTGAAGTATCATAAAGAATTTGTGAAAATCTCTTATTGAGGTTTTTTTTTGTCAAACACACCTGTGTTCTTCCAAAAAAAAAGGAAGGAGCCAAGGGAGGAAAGAACCAAAATTTAGAGATCTAAAGAAATCAGTTAGGAAATGTAACATATTTGGTGGTTGTGGATGATTGAACAAGGCTAATTTTATATCTTGCATCAATTCTGAAGAAACACAGAATGTTTGTTTTATTTCAGGTGGCTATGAGCCCCCACTCACGAATGTCTTCACGATGCAGTGGTTTCTGACTCTCTTTGCTACGTGCCTCCCTAACCATACGGTCTTAAAGATCTGGGATTCAGTCTTCTTTGAAGGTTCGGAAATCATCTTGAGAGTGTCGTTGGCCATCTGGGCAAAATTAGGAGAGTAAGTGATTTCCCCATTCTGTTTTGTTCTGTGGTGTGGGGGGCTTTAAGCAATTTTGTGCTCTAATGTGAAAAGCATCTATATTTAAGTAGGAGCAAAAGAGAAAGTTGGGAACTTTGTTGAATTGCTTTAGCCTTCTGAAATCTTAGTTGGCTGATTCTTGATTATCGAGGGGCAAATAGAATCTATGTTGGGGAAGAGGGGGTAGGCTTTTTCAGGTCTCTAGATCTCTACTTCAGTGCTAGTGTCCTGGCTGGTTTACTGTGCACCCTCTCCCTGGACTCTAGTTGGGAAGAGAGGGAGGGAGAGGAACTGAGATGGAAGAGGAAGATTGGGAGAGGAGTATCTGTGTTTGTTGGTTAACATTCACGATTTGAATGATTTTTAAGTCCTTAGTATTTATTTAGTTCTGCCCTTCAGGGCCATAATAAAATTAAATGAAATAATATGTATAGGGTCTCTCTGGTGCTTAGTACATAGTCAAGAGTAGAACACACAGAGGACACCTGGCTGGCTCAGTCAGTAGAGCATGCGACTCTTGATTGCAGGGTCGTGAGTTCAAGCCCTACTTTGCGTGTGGATCCTACTTAAAAAAAAAAAAAAAAAAAACGTAGAACACATTGAACTTCTTATTTTTCATCAGGAATTAATTCTGTGATGAAATCTGTTACTACCAAACATAGTATCACACAGATGTTAATTGTATTTGTTACCAGTAGCGGGACTGTGAAAAGGAGGGTATTTTCACCCATCTCTAATATATTATGACTATTATGTTAAAATTCTACACTTTGGGTAATGGAAGGGATATTAGGATGAAATTGTTAGAGTTAAGATGCAGAGAAGTTTTTAATGTTTGTTTCCTAGAGTTTTAAATGACTTGAGTGAGTACTCATAGACAACATGTCAGAAAACTAATAAATCACTGCCAGTGTTTTGTTTCAAAAACCTTTTAACCAGTCTTTTATTTATGTTAAGTTGTTTCCTGGGAGACTTGCAGTATTTCCCACTTTTTGCAAGAAAGATCCACCAACTATCAATTCAGGGATTTAGAAAGATCATCATGTTGTACAACTGTTTGGAAACAGCACATATCCATCTCCTTTGCTTTTGATTTTTGGTATACTGCTTCTCAGCTGGGCAAATAAATGAGTCTGCTGGGGATTTGGAGTGCTGATTACTTATCTTTTCATTTTCCCTCGATATCTAGATCTTTCTGCAGTCCTACATTTCCAACCTACTCTATGCCCGAAGCTCCTTGAACTTTGACAGTGTCTGTGGGTGGGATAGTCCAGTTACCGGGTAACTAGTTTATGGAATTAAAACAGTGTAGCACTTTACTGAGGCTGAGTCTGTTGAAGTCACCTTTGTGCTCATGCTTAGTTATGGGGCAGGAGGAAAAGAAGAGATTCTGGTTTTACTCCCCCCCTCCACCCATCCATTACGTGTAGGACCAGAATTTGTCTGGTCTTCCCAGAGAGTCATGGTGTGGACCAGCGTTGCTCGAAGCACTGTAGAGGTGAAACTAGCTCGTTTAGTGCTCACCATTATTTTATGAGGTAGGTACTATTCTCACCCCCATCTTATAGATGTGGGAACTGAGCCACAGAGAAGTTAAGTGAATTGCCCAAGGTCACTTAGTAAGTAGTAGGGCCTGATTTTGAACCCAGATATCCTGGCTCTAGGATCTGCACTTTTTTTTTTTTTTTAAGATTTTATTTTTATATAATCTCTACAACTAATGTGGGGCTCGAACCCACAACCCTGAGATCCAGAGTCACATGTTCTACTCCCCAACTGAGCCAGCCGCGTGCCCCTAGAATCTGTACTTTTACTAACATGAGTCTACTGACAATAAACCGGTATTGTTTGTGAAGTTCAGGGAATAGAGGAATGACACTGGTGGGACTTTAAATGTTTCAGTGTCTTTGCTCCCTGCACTTCTACATCTTTTTGAGTATGCCACTTATTAAACGAAAGGGAAGGCAGCCAGCACAGTGCTGTCATGACATCAGGCAGCTTAAACGCCTGGTCTCATTTGGTTCTCTGCATAACCCCAGGAAGTAGGTAGGATTCTTCTCCTGCCTTTCCAAGTGGAAAAGCTAACCCAGAGGGTGAATTAACTAGCTCATGGTCCCATAGCTCATCAGCCGCAGAGCTGGGACTTAATCCTGGATCTTTCGGACTCCAGCGCCTGTATTCCTCCCCACAAACTTTTTGCTGGAAAAATCATGAACTACAGCTCCGTGGGACCTCTCCATTCCCCTTCCTCCTGCAACTTGGCATTTCTTCTTTTCACTTACATCACGGGGTGCTTTGGGAATCCGTAAGCTGTGGACCCTCAGCACAACCTTCCCTGGCGTCTCTCAAGTATCCTTTCTCCTCTGACCCCCTGCGTTGCCTTGCTCCCTCACATGTCATCCTGGCCTAGCGCCATGTTTCCTCCCTGGTCTTCCCATCATACTCTACACTTGCCATGTGACCTCCAGCCGACCTTGCCGAGGGCACATCTGTTCCCACACTCCCTTGGAAGTGCCTTTTAGGGACTCTTGCCCTGAAGAGCCTCAGCAGGCACGTGACGCCATTGCCATCTGCTGTCTGCAGCTCTGTACCCTCGCTCTCTCCGTCACCCTCTGGCCATGCAGGCCACCTGGCCACCTTTGGTCGCAAGGAGCTCCTTCCACAGCCTGGAAAGGGCCTGCCGTCTCCCGCATCCACGTCTTTGGAAAGCTTTTTCTTCCTTGTCAGCCTGGAGTATATTTTTCAGAACTCTTCTGAAGCATTATTTCCTTTCCTCACCCTCCAGGGTACACTTAACCACTTTTTCAATTATGCCCACACGCTACTCTGGAGTTTTGCAATAACACTTCAACAGGCTATTTCACTTGATAGCAAGGGGACTGAAGAGCGCACTTGAGCACCTGCAGTTTTTCCATCATCATGGTGTTTTCTGGATGGCCCCGTGGAAATTCCCCGACATTAGCGTATGTCAAAGTGTATATCTAATAGGTTGGGGGGGCAAATATAATTATCCTACGTACAGAAAACGTGGTAGTAGATAAAACACATGCATGGTATTTTTGCTTTATTTTTTGATATTTATTTATTTGCTTATTTATCCGTGCCAAAAAGGTTGTTGCAGTAAAGCATGGCCCCAGGACCCGCGGGCAGGAAGAGCTGCTCACAGCGCTTTTTGCTTGAAACTCTTCCTTTTTTCTCCCCCACCAGAAGGATGAAAGTCTAACTTGCCTTACAGGTTGCCAGGTGACAGGTTTCTTTATTTACATGTAGAACCAAATGCAAGAAGCACGGTGTAATGGCCAGCTGGCTACAGTAGCTAGAGAAGAACAGAAAAATTTCTGTCTGTGAAAGCGTCCAGGGGATGGTGAAAGGTGCAGAAAAGTTGGAAGTTCTTGTTCTTGTATTTTTCATCTTTCACTTCTACTGTGGTTTGGTTTCAGTCTATTGGTGATAGCACCATCGTGGCCCCAGATTCCCTACAGCGGGTAATTGTTCTTCGGGACCCAATTTTGTGATTATTAGTTCTGACGGATGGTGGGTGTGTTGTGTAGAACGTGTCACATGAAAATAAGCAAGATGCCGTGGGTGGGGCTGTGAGGCTGGCGGGCAGAAACGAGAGATAGGAGCTCATCCTGTAACAAGTACTTCTAAGCCATCTTTGTTGTTTTTTTGTAGACTGTCTACCAGGATTGTGATTTATTAAAAAAAAAAAAAAATCAGCCCAAATGGGTTAATTTGGAAATAGCAGAGAATTGCAAGCCAGGACATGCAAACTGTGTCCAAGCCATGGACAAGTGCCTAGGATTGTGATTTTTGTTGATTGCTAACTTTGATGGCAAGAGGCAATACCTTGTTTTGCACCTGCAGCATATACCTGATAAATAACAACAGGGGGGCCTAAACATTTTCTTCTGCTCTCCTTTCTTTATCTAGGCAGATAGAATGCTGTGAGACAGCAGATGAATTCTACAGCACCATGGGGCGTCTTACCCAGGAGATGCTAGAGAATGACCTTCTGGAAAGCCATGAACTCATGCAGGTGAGTGGGCAGCATGGCCCGACCTCAAGGAACCCAGGGAAATATGTTTGGCTAGCCCTCAGATTGTTTTTCGCTTGACCAAGAGTCTATATATAATTTGATCAAAATCTGTCACAAGAGGAAGGAATGAATAATGGGTATTTGTTATGCTTCCATTCAAGCTGTGTTGCTTAAGAGTCCAACCTCCAAAAAAAAAAAAAAAACCCCAAAACTTCCAAATCTGATTTTTTTTAGATTTACTTATCTTTGAGGGGTGCTTGGGTGGCTGTGTGGCTCAGTGGGTTAAGCCTCTGCCTTTGGCTCAGGTCATGATCTCAGGGTCCTGGGATCGAGCCCCACATCGGGCTCTCTGCTCAGCGGGGAGCCTGCTTCCCCCTCTCTCTCTGCCTGCCTCTCTGCCTACTTGTGATCTCTCTCTCTGTCATATAAATAAATAAAATCTTTAAAAAAAAGAAGATTTATTTATCTTTGAGAGAAAGAGAGTGTGTGAGTAGGGGGAGGGGCAGAGGCAGGGCATCCTCAAATAGACTCCCCATTGGACAGAGAGCCTGCCGTGGGGCTCGATCCCAGGACCCTGAGATTATGACCTCTCGTGACCTGGGCTGAAATCAAGAGTAGGATGCTCAACAGACTGAGCCACTTGGGCATCCCTGAATCTGATTTTTAACCTTTTAAAAGGAGACTTGTGGGGCAACATAATGATTTTGGGGAAGAAATTGTTGAGGATAAAAAGGAGATTATTGGATAAAAAGGAGATTATTCTAATCAGCATTTTAGTTTATTTGTTTTATCCATATTTTCTACTCATGTCATTATGTTGTTTTTTTTTTAAAGATTTTGTTTATTTGAGAAGTTGAGAGAGAGCACAGTGGTAGCGGGGCAGGGGTTATAGTGCAGAGGGAGAGGGAGCAGGAAGCCCGGTGCGGGGCTTAATCCCGGGACTCTGAGATCTATGTATTAATCATAAGTTTTAATATGAAAGACTTGAAGGGTTTTGTTATTTTCTGGCATGTTATTATATCTCAATATCATATTCACAAAGGCATTAAAATTGATAGTATAGAAATAACAACAACATTGTTAGTATTCTCTCTTGCATTAGGTTCTATAATATGATTTTACCCTTATTTTCCTCTGACGCTTCCGACTGCTGCTTCTCTTTCTGGTTGTTCCTTCTGCCCACCCACCAACCGTGGGTCTTATCCAAGGTTGTCCTTGGGCCTTATTTCCTTCTTTCTCTGTGATTTCTCTCTCCTTTTTCTGGGTTTCAGTTTGTACTCGTATGCTGGGTTCCATGCATGAGGTCATGTTTGGGTGCTGCGCCCCGTCAACAGATTGGAAACCGAAGACTCAGACCCTGACTTAGCGCTGGAGCAGTGAGGAGTTTCTCTTCCTTTATTCATTTCCTGGCATCTCCAGCTCCTTCTCAGAATCCCTGATGTTTAGCAGACAGCTGCCTGACTCATTGAGAATGGTGACCACCCAACAGAACTTCCCTGAACATTTATAGTTTTTACTTCAACTTTCCTTTGCATTCTTATCTCTTCTTCCTTTTTTCCTGTCTCAGAGGAGGAAAAATCTCTGTCTGAGGCTGACCTCGATGCTCTGGTCCCGACTCTTCTCACATATCCCGGGGCCATGGCTGCATCATTGCTCATTCTCTCTCAGAGGGAAGTACCTTTATTGAACACGGCTCTGTGTGTGAGGTCCACGCTTGGCATTTTCCATGTATGAGATCCTCCATGTCCCACAGAGCTGCCAGAATCATATGCCCAAGGCAGGACGTTGGGGTACCATCCCTTCTCCCTCACTCGTGAAACTTCAGTGGCTACTTCCGTGTCCTGCCTACAAAATGAAGCAGGACTTCTCAGCTTTAGCATCAGTACTCTTGACCGGCATTAACGCATCTTTTCAGCCACAGCTTTTGTGTTTTGTACCCTTGACTTACTCTAGTCAAGTCAAGCTGTCTTCCGTGCTCCCTGAAATCCCTGGGAATATGCCTCCTCTGTCCCTGTGCCCCCGCTGCTCAGTCTTTCCCTTCTACCTCCACATGTTCAAGGCCTGCCTCCTCCTGAAAAGTTCAGATACCATTTCCTTTGTGGAACATTCTCTGATAGTCTCAATGAAAATCATCCACCCCCCCCAAAGAAAAGCATCTCCCATTTCTTTGAACCACTGTGGCATTTTCTTTGTACATCTCTCATGAGCATTCATCACGTTTGACCTTGACTGAGGACCATCTTCTTTCCTAGGTGATATTTTTAAGCTCCTTGAGGATAGGGATTGTGCTTTGCTCATAAACACTTAGCACTTTGCCTTTTACTGGAGCTGCTCAATAAATTTATTACTTCATTTAGCAAATACCTGTTAAGAGTCTGATTAGTTTCCTGCCTTCTCTTTTTCAATAAATGTTTGTTGGATTAAACAACACTCACAGATGGTGGCCCTCCTTCTAGATTCCCTCAGCTCTAATACAGTTGGCATTTTGCTGCCAGAGTGATTGTCCACACTGCCACCTGGGTGTCTGCATATGTGAGTGTGTGTGTGTGTATGTGTGTGTGTATGTGTGTCTTGAGGGCAGTGGTACAGAGCAGAGCAGGAAGGGGACTCATGGTTGAGGGAGTGGCATGCACAAAGTCATAGCCACTGGAAAACTTGGTGGTGTGTGAAGGAAACGATGAGGAGTTTGGCATTTGGGGTGGGTATGGAAGACCACAGCCCATGGTAAGGATTGGACTTGACCTTTTAGGCCAGTGGTTGTGATATTGTGCTTGCTGGAATTCCAGGGTTTCTGTGGAGCCTTTGGAAAGGGAAAAAGAAGACCTGAAAGGTCCTAAGGAGAGAAGGAAAATGATCTGAGTTGTGACTTCTGCCAGATATGGGCAGGGGCAGCATTGTGAAGGGCGGACTTGAGGGGTCAAGTCTGACAGCAGGAGCTTGTGAGAGGCAGTGATGGGTAGAAACAAGGATGGAACAGAGACGATACTTAGAAGGCGAAATTGATAGGACTTGGCCTCAGAAGATGGATATGCAGAGAGGGAAGAAGAAATGGGGAAACAAAGGCAACCGACAAGTCTCTGGCTTAGGAAGGCGAGCATAAGTATAGGGGGGAGGAAGAATGGTTTGTTTGGAGACAGGTTGTGTTGGAGGCCCATTCTGGCTGCCCATGCCTTACCTATGCAAGGTGTTCCCACTACTTCACGGCTGGAAGGTGGGAACAGAGCTCCCACCCAGCCCTCTCTGCTCCTGCGCTCTTTCTCTCACGCTCTCAAATAAGTAAATAAAATCTTGCAAAAAACACAAAAGAAGCTTAAAGATCAACTACCCTAATCCTCTCACTTGACAGAGAGTGAGTATGTGGCCAGTTCCTTTGGCTGTCGGGAGCCAAGTCCTCCACTCCTGGGCTGTGCTTTTTCCCTACTGCCCAGCACACAGCTTCCGCATTAGTCAAACTATGTCTTTCTCAAAGCGGGACTCCCCTTTACAAAAATAAAGCCACATTTCATTTCCCTTAAGCATTGCCAGAACAAAGGAGAGCTATGTTGACATACACCCTCTTTGTCCTACAGAAATGTCCAGTCTTGGGAATTAGAGAAGAGAGAACCACCTCATTCCCCTGCTTTAAGAGAATCCTCGAGGGAAGAATGCAGGCTGTGGTTTGATTGATTAGAAGCCATTTTAGTGGCTTTTCTTCTGCTGAGGAAAACATCTGGGTGGAGATGAACTGAGCTTAATTTTGTACAACTTATGTTTTTAGGCTTTTTTTGCAAAGCATGTCAGTCATGAAACAAGACATAGAAATTTTTTTTTCCCAGCAGTATCTAAATATAAATGTCTGTTTAAGTGCACGTCCATAGTTTGGATCATAAGTTGACTTGTTGGTTTTCTTTGGCATCATAGGGTGTTACTGAGAGAAATGGTGAATGTCATTTCAAGGCACTCTTTTTCCTGTATTCACTCTTAAAAAAAAAAAACAACCCAAAACTAATTCAGTGGCTGGGATCCAATTATGGTGGGCCATAAATCTGCCAGCAAACCTGAAATGGCTCCAGATGAAAAATGTGGACTGTGTATAAGGTCTTTATTTTCGAGCTGAAGACGTGGAAGGATTCTCCCTGGTGGTCTTCTTCCGTTCTTTCAGTTCTCAGTGCCACACACAGAATAATCTGCTGGTTTTTTTCCTTCTGTAAATCACATCGCTCTTTTTTAGTTTTTAATTTTATTAGCAATGGCTGGTTTTAAAAAAATGGATAGTGTCTGGAAAAGAGATTGGGAGGATGCCGGTGAAATTGTATATATGGATTTCAATAAGACGTTTGACGAAGTCTCTCATGACTTCCTTGAGGGCAACAGAGAGAAAAATTACATGCTTTTGTTAGAAGGGTCTGTAGGGAAAACCTACGTGGAAGTGCTCGTCAGTAACGATTGTTACCTCTGGGGGGCGCTCCGGTGCCATCTCGTGGGATCTGCCCTTGGACTGTTCACCCCTTTTTTAAAGATTGATTTATTTATTTGAGAGAGAGGGAAAGAGAGAACACGCACATGGGGGAGAGGGGGGTAAGGCAGAAAGAAAGGGAGAGAGAAAATCCCAAGCAAATTCCCTGTGAGCACAGAGCCCAAGATGGGGCTTGATCCTGGGACACCAATTTCATGACCTGAGCTGAAACCAAGAGTCAGACACTCAACCAGCTGAGCCACCCAGTTGCTCCTGGAATGTTCGGTTTTTGCCATCAACGATGGCATGGAAATGACAAGAATGTGGATGTATGTCCAAAAGAAGGATCATGTCTGATTAATGAGGGCTGTCAAAAATTGTAACCGTCTGCTCTGCAAAACAATGTGTGCCCGTAACTGGGAGTGTATAAGCAGTGCCTTTGTGACCATCTGTTATAGGAGATGTTCTAGAGGGAATCTCTGTTGCAGAAGGAGGTTTAGCGAAATTATGTTTACATTCCTTTCTAGCCCTAAGATCCTATTAGCGTACCATATTTGGCTGTAAGGCGACTTGTAACATACCTTCCTTGGAATCTGTTGTAAATTTCTGATTTACAAAGTTGGGAACCTAGAGCTTCTTGGGTACTCTGAGGGCTGTGGTGATGTGTTGTGTGCATTCTTGGCATAAACTTGCCTTCAGATGTGAGACCTTCAAATACGTGAATGAACATATGAGAAGAAGTAGTATAAACACGTTTGTCTCAGGAGCACTGATTTCTTCTATGTAGGACTAACTGAAAGTAAAGGATAAAGAAAGAAAGATAAAAAATAGAGAATGAAAATACCAGTGGGGCCAGTTTTCTTTTTGCTCAGGTGTCTGAAACTGAGTGGAAGCTTGAAGGAGATCTCTAGGAGCTCGGGGCCAATTACCCTAGGGTAGGATGGGATGAAGTAGGGGCAGGATGGACTTCCCATTCCTTACTTATCAAGCTTCCTTCATGAGGCTGAACAAGGGAATATTTTGATAACTTTTTATAAAGACTGGCAAAAATAAAACACACGTGAATCTTTAGCTGGTTGCCCTATTAATTGTCTTCAGTGAGACATCCTACTTCATTTATAAGGAATTTTGAAATTCCTAGCATTAATAATGTCATCTTTTAAAGTTGAATCCAAATGGTATGGGTTTCTTTTTTTAAATTATCGAGGTATGGTTGACATATAGCATTGTTAGTTTTCGGTTAATGGCTTCCTGGGAGAAATGAAGCTGTGATTAATACACGTTTTTTGGTGAATATGTACTTGAAGGGTTGAAGTAATATGTTTGGAGCAATTAAATTTTAATACAATTAAGAGAGCAAACAGGACCACTTTCTTCCTGCTGATAGAGTGATATATAATTTTGGAATCCTGGAGGAAGCACAGGTGCTTTTCCCATTTTTATTTATAGATTTTTGGCAGCTATGCTTTACACCCTGTCACTTTATTCATTTCTTTTTTTTTTTTTCCTTTAAAAATAACAGCCAATAATTTTCACCTAGAACTCATTCACGGGCATTTGAAAAGGTGGTATCTTTGGAGAAAGTGGGCAGCTGATCACAAGATCATCCACTAGATTTAATTTTGTCCAGAAGGTTGACATTAAATGTCTATAAAATCATCAAACAAAGCTTTGAAAAATAAGCACTAGTATGAAGATCATCGATGGGTACTTTATTAAAGAAGTAATAGGGGGCTCCTGGGTGGCTCAGTTGGTTAAGCATCTGACTCTTGAACTCAGCTTGGGTCTTGATCTAGGGGTCGTGATTTTGGGCCCTCATTAAAAAGAAAAAAGTAATAGGGAGCTGTGAATTTCTGAATTAACCACTTGTCATTGGGCCTGGAGGAGGTCAGATTGCCCCCGTCTGCCACCCATGTTCACCACTTGGAATGCCCAGTCACAGCCGGATTGATTTGAGAACTCACCCCTGCGTTTATCAGTACTGTTGTCTTTCTCTAAAGCAGGTATTGAATAGAATCTCTCCACCTGCTGGGTAAGGTGCAGAATCGACCTCTTCACATCCAAATCATAAAACTCTAATGTCTTCCTAGGATTGATAAGAGTTGTCTAAGGCTACCATTTCAGACTTGGCATTTTTGCTTTTGTTTTCCAGACTGTTTATTCTATGGCCCCATTCCCTTTCCCACAGTTGGCGGAGTTGAGGGAAAAGTACACTTACAACATTACACCATTCCCAGCCACAGTTAAACCCACCTCTGTTTCTGGGTAAGGTCTTTTTATCCCCCCCTTCTTGTTTTCTTGATGGGAGGCTTAGTACTTTAATGTGTTATTGTAACTTTGTATTTGTTAATCCCCAGATATATATATGTATTTTTTTTCCAAAGTATTTTGGTGCTTAAAATTTGAATGTCTCTTTCCCAAAGGTTTTGATTGACATTCAAGAGAGAGATTTTTAAAACTGTACTTTCCGAAGAAGATTGAAGCATAAACTAAAGGAATATTTAGAAAGTTATTTAACAGTATCAAATATTAAACATTTTAATAATTAAAGTAGGGTAGAACAGGTGCATGAAGAGACAGATGAACTATTTTGAAATGTAAAGACTGACATTGACAAATATATATATAGAAATTTAGTGTTTGAAAACTTAGCATATCAAATCAATAGTGAAACTTTTTATTTAAATGGAAAAAATGAAATAATAAAATTAGCAGAAGAAAATGTGGGAAAAATATCTTTAGTTCTTTGGAAAGGGAAGTCCTTAATCATGGATTCAAAAACACCAGGGAAAAAGTTAAGTACTTTTAAAAATAATTTTCTGCATGACTGAAAACAGAACCAAACCAAAAAAACCTCCATAAACAGGCACAAAAAAATGTTTGTGAAAAAATATTTGTAACTGATATCTTGCATATATAAAGCTAGAAATCAATAAGAAAATGAACACCCAATTGAAAAATGATGAGAGAATGGGCATAGGTAGTTTACATGAGGAATGACATCACTGGTATTAAGAGAAATATAGCTTAAAGCTAGACTGAGACTCTGTTTTTATCTGTCAGATTGATAAAAATTCAGAAGACTGACGTGCACCCTGTTGATGAGGCTATAGGCAAACACTCTTGCACATTGCTGGCTGGAGGTTAATTATTACAAGATTTGTGGCAGGCAATTTGGCAGTATTTCCCTAGATTACTAGTACATATTTCCTTTGACCCAGCAATTCTATCTTTATGACTTACTCCACAAATATATTTTTACACCTGCCCAAACCCAGTATGTATCGGGTTATTTATAGTGGCATTGTTTAATGACAGTATGTGAGTGTAGACCATTCAGGTGTGTGGCCTGGTCCCGTAACATGAGCCACATGCATTCAATCTAATGCAGCAATAAAAACAGGGCGAGGAAGCTCTACATGTGAATCTAGAGAGATTTTTAGGTAAATAGATGTGAGGTGCACAACAGTGTAGATAGTATGCTATTTGTTCAAAAAGAGAACAATAAGACTGTATAGTTATATTGGCTTACGTATGCGTAACAAAACTGAAGAACACATCAGAAATTAGTAACAAGGGTCACCTTTGGGAATTAGGTGGGGCAGGGGCTGAAGTTGGACAGGGAAGGGAGGGAGACTTTTTATAGATAAGTTGTATGTCCACTTCTATATAAAACTCATGTATATGTCATTTAAGCCATGTGACTGTATCATTTATTTTTTAAAAATACCACTATTTTCCTTGAATATTTTTCTTCTTTTTTGTTTTCCAAGACGGCATGGGAAGGTCAGAGACAGCGATGAGGAGAACGATCCAGACGATGAAGATGCTATTGCTACTGCTGTGGGGTGTCTCGGGCCTTTCAGTGGGCTCCTGGCACCTGAACTGCAGAAGTACCAAAAGCAGATCAAAGGTAAAGAGGCGGCTGTCTATGTAGGCGATCTCTGTGTATTGGTTCACTGTAGCAAATGTATTATTATTGTGTCGGATAAATGCCTGCTGTTTCCTGGCCTGATTACCCGTCTATTGAAAGTGTCTTCCGTGTTACTTTATCTTTTATTTAAGATTTATTTATTTATTTAAAGATTTTTTTTTTAAGATTTTATTTATTTATTTGACAGATCACAGGTAGTCAGAGAGGCAGGCAGAGAGAGAGGGGGAAGCAAGCTCCCTGCAGAGCAGAGAGACCGATATGGGGCTCGATCCCAGGACCCTGAGATCATGACCTGAGCCCAAGGCAGAGGCTTAACCCACTGAGCCACCCATGTGCCCCAAGATTTATTTATTTTTGAGAGAGGGAGAGAGAGAAAGTGTGCACACATAGGGGAGGGGCAGAATCCTCAAGCAGACTCTGTGCTGATCATGGAGCCCAAGGCAGGGCTCAATCTCATGACCCTGAGATGACCACTGGAGCCGAATCTAAGAGTTGGTCACTTAACCGTCTAAGCCACCTGGGCACCCCTACTTTATCACTTAGTAGGATCTCTCTGTGAGGTGTTGCATACATCATACATATTTCTTTTTCTTTCTGAGGGGTTTTGCGCCCACTTTATCTGATTCCACTTGGTATGCTCAGCTCCCTAGCTCAGAACCTGGCATAGAACAGATGCTTAGTACCACATGCTATCTGAGTTCAGTTGATACAGACTGGCTTCTTTTCCACTATAGAAATGTCCTCTGAAACATTAGGATAGCCTCTACTTGAATCTGAGGGATTAAAAACTCATTATCTCATAAGACATTCTGCTGGATCCTCTGCTTAGCCCATGACTTCTAGTTGTGAAGAGATAATCTCCACCTACCAGTTCTTTTAATAGTTCTTTTGAACAAAACAGAACAAGTCTACTTCCTCTTCTGTTGGACTTTTCATCAGATCTTTGAGAACAGCCATTGTGTCCCCCAAACCCTTTCCTATCGTCCAAGTTCAGAGTTTTTCAAAAGATACGACTTCTAGACCTTTTTTTTTTTTTTAAGATTTTATTTATTTATTTGACAGACAGAGATCACAAGCAGGCAGAGAGGCAGACAGAGAGAGAGGAGGAAGCAGGCTCCCTGCCGTGCAGAGAGCCCGACGCGGGGCTCGATCCCAGGACACTGGGATCATGACCTGAGCCGAAGGCAGGGGCTTTAACCCACTGAGCCACCCAGGCGCCCCGACTTCTAGAACTTTTAATATTCTGTATATTCACCTTTTAATGCCCTGCGGTTTGGTGGTGTCTCCCTTTGAGTTGGATGCTATGCTACATTTGTTGTTTTCCTTGTGGAGAATGGACTTCCTGTGGTCTGGACACCATTGATGGAATGAACTCTTAGGAAGCAGTTGGTGGTCCTCCCGCCATGTGGAGGGTGGTGCATCCCGATATGTTCTTTCCTATCTCAGGTGGCGGTTCCTCCTTTAGGACATTTGTTCTACGTCTTCTAGTTTGAAGACTGTACTCCTTGCGAAAGAGGACAGAGACAAGAGTTAGCAGGCCCTCTGCATTTTCTTTGCCCTCTGCTAGCTTCCTACTGCCTTCTCAGAGTCGTGGGGCTATTTTCTCATTTTTGTTCTTTGTGTTTAGAAGGTTTCTTTTTGTTTGGCTGTTCTCTTTTGCCTGTGGTTGTTTCATGGTAATCTGAAGGTCCTCAAGCCTTAGCTTGTTTTGAGTTTTAGCCTGCTTTATAGTTTTGGTTCGCGTGACTTTGCGTGTATGTCTTTGCTATGTCCTCTCCTCTCATCTCTTTAAATGGCTTTTAAACCACCTAAACTCAGCAAGGGTTATTGATTTTGTTATGCCCTCCACCCCTTCCCTCTGTGACCTGAATTTCAGCTTTTGGTGTGTAGCCAGGAAATCAATATGTATTTTAACTCCAAAATTTTTGCATCTGCGTTTCTGTAGTCTGGCTGTATGTCTCCACACCACTCCCCGCCCCCCCCGCCCCGGCTTTTCCCTTCTGTTTTTCTTTCTGGGTAGCTCTAATGTACTTCAGGATGATAGGATCACTTTCTCTTAAGTTTTTTCATTAGCCTTTCTTGTCAGTTTTAAGTAAGCTCAGATTAGCAGGCCCGTTTTAATTTTTTTCTCCTTAAAAAAGTGTTTTCTGTGAAAAAGTAAGTAAGCTTATCTGATATTTAGGCTTTATCTGGATAACACTTTTAGTAGATGTTAACATAATTGAAGTGCCCCATTAATCATTTTTTTAAAATATTTTATTTATTTATTTCACAGAGAGAGAGAGAGATCACAAGTAGGCAGAGAGGCAGGTAGAGAGAGAGGGGGAAGCAGATTCCCTGCCAAGCAGAGAGCCTGATGCGGGGCTCGATCCGAAGACCCTGAGATCATGACGTGGGTCGAAGGCAGCGGCTTAACCCACTGAGCCACCCAGGCGCTCCCCCCAATTAATCAATTTTTAAAAGCTGGTTCCCAGGCCACTTTTCTATATTGTGCTAGAAAAGCTTGTGCAATATGTGGGTATTCCCTCACACCGTGCTTATTTCTGCTTCTTAGATGTAATCCCAGATGAATCTACTAATTGTAGGTATCAGAGGAGGAGAAACACTATCGGATAAAACACACAGAGTAGACAGCAGGAAATGTTTTTTACATGAAAAAAAAATTTGTTGCTAGAGATGCAGTGATCTGAAGTTCTGATGATTTTATAGAACGTGTTGCTATTTTTAACTTAAGAAAAACTCACTTCTAATGACTGACTAAACTCTATAATCAATTCCTTGTAAGTCCTCATACAATTACATGCAAATCTCTAAACCGACTTTAGACACCTGGAGTTCCCTTTCCCTGAGGGAATTGTGGGAAATGGCAGTGACTTTTACGTTGAAACAGTTAATCTTAGGTCTAAGTAATGAACAAAGTGGTAATAAAAATCCAACAGTGAACCCACCCAGCTTGTTTCGGATCCACAGTTAGGCTAATAAGAAAATGCAGACCTATTTTCAGGGCCAAAGGAAAACACCTATCAGACAAATTGTAGCAAATTGATTGATTGATTGATGGTTTGAACCCCGGGGCATAGTGTCACCTGTGCTCATTAATCCCTTTCTCTCCCATGACACCGTGTCCTTATCCCTCTCCCCTGGAGTGCAGAACCGAATGAGGAGCAGAGTCTGCGGTCTAACAACATCGCGGAGCTGAGTCCCGGAGCGATCAATTCCTGTCGGAGTGAGTACCACGCGGCCTTCAACAGCATGATGATGGAGCGCATGACCACGGACATCAACGCGCTGAAGCAGCAGTATTCTCGGATTAAGAAGAAGCAGCAGCAGCAGGTCCACCAGGTGTACATCCGGGCAGGTAATGTGGTTCTCAGAACGATATCAAGTTTGTGTCACCTTGTGGAAGAAAGAACGAGTGCTCCGAGGACGGCCTCCTCATGGCAACTCGCGGTGGCTCAGCAACCACAGAAACGGCTCGCCCGAGCGGACAGCACATTTGGCATCTCATTTTTTATTTTATCAGGCTCTGCAAAAGAAAAAGGCCACGGGTTCATTTTAGGTACCAAGAACCGGGCAGCTGATGGTAGTAAACACATCTTTACTCTGTGTGCTTGTGGAGAGGGGTAGCCGAATGATGAAAATGTTGCAGATGCCCAGCAGTCCTTGGACTTGAGACATTTTGGAGCTCTTGCCTCTGGAACCTATTCTTCTGTGGGCTAGTACATGAAGCTACTCACCAGTCATGTAGGTAGTCCTATAACTGATAGTCATGGTCAGACAAAAAGGAAAAAAAAAAACCATTCCTGTGCCTCACTGATGGGTTAGCTGTGTCTTGGGGGTCTGCTGAGAAGAACGTAATTGGAATACAGTTGGAAATGCTCTTTTCCAAGGACTGTCAAACTGCCTTTTTTTTTTTTTAAATTCTAAAAATCCCAGGGAACAGTCTGCTTTATTATTTAATACATGCTGATTTGGGAAGTGGTTTGTCTTGTTCCAAGTGAAATCCTAATGATTATGATGCCTGCCCAGTGTTAATCAAAATAGGAAGTTGCCATGTTTCTAAGAGGATTGTGCGAACATGTGACTGATTTTGCACAAAAACTGAACTTAACTTACACTTGTGCGGGAGGAGTGGGCCGCTTCCCCAAGAGTCTTACTTCAGCCTGAATCCTTAAGAAAGAAGGCGCAAAGGAAACAAAGGTAGCACTTTAATTTTCAAAGCATTGGCTCATGCGTATCCTCATTTTGTCCTTGAAGCAGATCTGTGAGGAAGGTAAGGATGGATATTCTTATGTCCTTTTAAAAGATGAGGGGATGGTGTCTCAGGAAGGCTTCGCAGACTTAGTAGCTGTGGTGGTGGTCAGGCCAGGGCTAGACCCCTGTGTTCTGATTTCTTGTATTGTCCTTTTTCAGCTGCACCATACACATCTCTGGGTGGGATGGTGAACAGTTGGTATTCTCGGTGGTTATTAGGTCAGCCCAGTGCCTTGTGCTCTAGTCAGGGGTCAGTAAACTATGCTCCACAGGCCAAATCCTGCTAGCTGCCTGTTTCTGTAAATAAAGTTTTATTAGAACACAGGCATGCCCATTTATTTACATATTGTCTATGACTGCTTATACACTGCAGTGTCTAAAATTACCTAGAATCAGGTCCTTTTCAGGAAAAGTTGGCTGACTCCTCTAGATCACAGTTTACATGGTTCTTTTTAGGGAGAGATTGTTGCTCAAAGGCAAAGTCCTAGAGCATTGCTTCTGAAACTTAAGGGTACATATAAATCACTTGGGAATCTGTTAAAAAGAAGAGTCTGTTTCAGCAGGTTTGGGGTGGGGCTGAGATTATGCATTTCCAGCAAGCTCCTGGGTGATGCCAGTACTGCTGGGTGGGGATCCCGCTTTGAGTAGCAAGCTTTTAGAGGCGATGGCATAAGGTGGCATCAGCAGTGTGGGCAGGAGAGGCTGCACCTGACCTCAGCTCCTGAGATGTAAAGGAAGGTGGTAAGCATGGTGGTTGAGTGGTGGTTGAGGTACCATCCTCCCAGGTTAGGGAGGACAGGAAGTTAGGGCCTTTTGGATCTGATAGCTTCTGTTTTTGTGGAGCAATTGGAGGAAAAGTCATTTGCTTGGGAGGAAATTGGGGGACTAAGGTGGGAGAGTAGAGAAAGTAAGGAAGATTTGGATAAAGGTCATGGGATGGAATGGAAGAAGGAAAGAAAAGGATTGTTTAGTGTCTTTGAGGACCTAATAAAATAGGAAGTTAATGAATCTGAAGGGCTTTCAGTCCACATGTCTGTGTGATTCCACCTCCCACCCCACTTTTGGAAAAGATAATGTGATTTGTGGCTCCAGGGTTAGGAATTTGCCAGGCATAAAGGCATGGGGATGTTGGGAATGTCTGGTTATTGGTAAGGCACCAGTCCCAGTGATCAGCCACGCATCTAGCCTGGTAGGGGTGTGAGTGACCCAGAGACAGACGAGGGGTTATGGGAAGTTGAAAGATCAAAGAACCAAAGTCTCTTTGGCCCAGTACCATCAATGGCTATATTGAGAGAGAGCTAGAAGAGTCAAAGAGAAGAATAGGAGAGTTAAATATTTTTCAGGGAAGGTAGATCTGAGTGATGAGGTTTAGGATGGAATTGGGGTGGTAGAAGGAAGCGTGTGGATGGGTCAGTCAGAGAAACAGTCAAGCGACCGAGGGTGGGTAATAGGATATGGAGTGAAGAGGAGACAGTTGTCAGCATCTTCAGTAAGGACTGGAGTGTGACCAGAGGTAGATGACAATAGTTGAGAAGCATAGAAGTGAGTTCAGCAGATGACATGGACATCAGGACAAAGGTTGTTCACACAAAGATGGTGGGGCCTTCTCCCTGGGGCCATGTGTGTTTGAGCATCATCTGAAAGAGAGGCTTGGTCTTAGCCACGGGAGGAGGAGGACAATAATACTATCGACAGTGCCCTCCAGGAGAATACAGCTTTTGGTGCTCTCCAGTCTTCAGTTTGCTTTCAAAGTCCACTGAGGACACAGGGATGGATTTTCGTATTTAGGACCAGGCGTCAGGGAGCAATGACTTCACTGTGTTTTTACCACCTTCTTAATCGCTTCTCTCATTCTGCCGTCTCTCACTTCATAATAAGTGGTGTGTGTTCTTTTCCTACCTCTCGGAAGCTAACAGCTGATCATCCAAATGGTCATAGTGTTTGACTTATTTTTAAAAAGTCTTCTAAGATTTTTTAGATACAAGACCTCTGAGGTTGTTTCTCGGAAACAAAAACTCTTGGGAAGAAACAGGGCATCTGCCCATGAATTAGCAACAAGGGACCAATGAGTCTGCTTCTTGTGTACTCTCAGTCTCCTGTCTCCTCCCCTTGGAAGAGGAGGGAATAGGTATGCCAGGGCTCTAGGGTTGAATTCAGTTTTTGTTACCTTCAGTCACATGGCTTTGCCCAAATCTGGGAAATACATGGGCGAGATTGGGGGACAAGCTCTATGTGATTCTTGGACTGTGATGGCTGGTTTCTCTGTGGTACGTTTCATCCAACCTTTCACCATTTCTTTCAGACAAAGGGCCAGTGACCAGCATTCTCCCGTCTCAGGTAAACAACTCTCCAGTTATCAACCACCTTCTTTTAGGAAAGAAGATGAAAATGTCAAACAGACCTGCCAAGAATGCCGTCATCCACATCCCCGGTCACATGGGAGGCAAGATGTCTCCTGTGCCTTACGAAGACCTGAAGACAAAGCTCAATTCCCCGTGGCGGACTCACATCCGAGTCCACAAAAAAACCATGACGAGGACCAGGAGTCAGCTGGGCTGCGGGGACACCGTCGGACTGATCGAGGAGCAGAATGAGGGATGCAAGACTAGCGGCCTGGGGGCAGCTGAGGCCTCCTCCAGTGGGGCAGCCGCTGGAAGGGAGGGCAGCTGCTCCGGAATCAGCACAGGGCGGACGATCGAAGGGCGGTCCCCAGAGCCCGCGTTTGGGGAGGCCGATGCCGACGTATCTGAGGTCCAGGTGAAGTTAGAAGCCCTGGAACTGAGCCAGAGGGATGCAGCTGCGGGCTTGGAGCCCAAGGCACACCAGCCCTGCCCACCACCCTTCCCAGAGCGGTCTGAGGCCCACGATGAAAACAGAGCCCCCAGCAAGCCTCCCCAGGGCAGCCACCCGAAAGCACCCATCTTCAGCCCTTTCCCCAGCGTTAAACCGCTGCGGAAGTCAGCCACCGCCAGGAATTTGGGATTGTATGGTCCTACCGAAAGAACCCCCACCGTGCACTTTCCTCACATGAGCAGGAGCTTCAGCAAATCGGGGGGTGGAAACAGTGGTACAAAGAAACGGTGATGGCCCTCGGTAGCTGAATCTCCGTTCACCTTCTCCCGGCGGCCTAAAGATTCCAGCTGAATGGCTCCAAAAGCGTTTTGACTGCCCAGTGAAAACAAGTAGATAGGTTCAGAGATGAACACCGGGCCATGAAACTGGGAACTAGAACTTTGAGAATGGGAGCTAGAAAGGGTACGTCTTCCCCACCTACCAATCACGGATCCAGTGAATTCTTGTGGCAGAATAAATATCGTAGTTTTAAATTGTGACGTTTTCCCAATTTTTCATTGTGACTTGTTTAGACAAGACTGTGAATCTGGACTGTTAACCCCTCTTCCTTCTTCCTGTTCTGAGGACCTGCAGGGGTCCCTGTGACCACCCTCCCCTCAAATCTTCTGGTTCCCCGGGGGTTTCCGACCCCAGAGCACGCACACGCTAACTTGCTAGAATAGAAACTGTAAAAAGGAAGTAAGTTTCTTCGTTGCAAAAAAACTTCTCAATTTCCCTCTTCCGGTCCCACCGAGGGAGTGTGTGTGTGTGTGTGTGTGTGTGTGAGAGAGAGAGAGAGTTTTTCTTCAGTAGTTTCTTTCAGCCAGGCTCAAGATTTTTTTTTTTTAAATTCTTATGCTAAAGTGCAGGAGAAGGATGTAGATAGCCATTCTTTCTCTCTCCCCGCAAAATGAAGAAAACCTGTATCTGCTGAAATTGAGGTTGGCCCAACAACTTGAAGATCTTATGCAGAGAACACGCATGGGATGGGTATCCAGCCATCGGCCCGAACAGCAGGCTGACTCCACGAAGCTTTCTGTCCTCTGATGAAGAGTTCAGGTCCTTGGTGCGGAGAGGACGTACTGGGCTCTGCGGAGCTTGTCCTGCGTCTTCCGCCCCATAGTCACTCACCTACCAGCTCTCCTCGTGGGTTGCAGCCGAGGCGCCTGTGGTTCTGTTACTTGAATCTTGTGCTTTTTTGATCGAAGTGCTTTGTTGAGTTCTTTGCTGCTAGAACCCTGCCTTTCTTTGGAGAAGTCACTCGTGCTTTCTAGCTCTCTCTCTTCCCCACCTGGCCGCCGGTCCCCACTGGCAGAGACGACACCTGTTTTTCCACTATGCAGATGGGAACTCTGAGCCACAGCAGAGTGAAGGAGCAGTTCAGACGTGCAAGGTGAAATCTCCTGGTATTCGGTGTGACTCCCTCAAGTCTCCGGAGGCAGATTTAGTGCTCCTTGTACAAGATGCATTGGTATGTAGGTTCTGAAAACCACCACCGGGAAGCCATTCATTCTGCTCCCTCCTGACTCAGAAGACCTCCCTCCAGAGGCTTTAGAGCCCTGTGATGGCATTTCACAAAACCAGCACTAACCTTTTAACTCCCTAAAGTTGTTCATTTTAAAAATGCTTCATGCAGCTGTCATTCCTCTGAACAAAGGCTCACTCCTCGGTCTCCTCTTACTATCATTAGAAGAATAGATGTGGCATCATTACCCTCATCTTTGAAAGACCTTGGCCGTGCTGGCTGGCATATCGTTGATGCAGTTGATGTTAATTTGAGCTAATTGGGTTGCCAATTCTGAAACCAAAGCTGTAATTCTAGAGAGGGCTTTTACTAGGAGAGGTATTAATTTTTGTAATAGAGAATGTGGTTGTGTGGGCTCTTTTGAACAGCAAAACATAAGAAGGACACACAGCGAGGAAAGCCATTTTATTCCTTTTGTGGTATTTTTACCCCCAAAGGAGCTAAAGATGGAAAATGTGACGAATAAGTCATTGTGGTTCTGGTCTTGAATTCCGTGCCATCTGAAGTTAGCATGCGGCTTCTTAAAAAGCAGCGTTGCCCACCACCTCTGACTTGGGAAGAGCGGAGGTGGAATGTTGGGCTTACTTTGCATTCCACCCTCGGGGGACGAGACCCACTGCATTTTCCAAAGTTAAGCAAATTACATGATTTTCCTCCATCTGCTAAAACTTTACAGACAAGAATATTCCACCTTAGGTTCTTATCTCCTCCCCCGACCTGCATGAGTCATAACAGACTCATCCCTTTGAGGGATGTCTGACTCCAGTAGAGAATTGTTCTTTCTTCTCTTGATGCAGCTCACAGCCCCCTGAGGATCTGGGTTCGGGGGGTGGGGTCTGGGGAGAAGGCTGCTTAGGCTGCCGCTCTTGCTGCCTGTAAAGCATCTTGGCATTACCAGCGTGTGCCCTGCGTATTCCCGGCTCTGGTCTTTCTAAGAAAGGGTTGGATGAGCTGGCACAGGCTTGGGAGTAAGTATTGACCCCCAATGAAGGAACAAAGACATGAAAGTGTAATAGCCCTTTGAGGTAAAAATGACCTTGTCAGGATTTTAAAAACCGGGGGATTTCTGTCGAAGCGCTCTCTGTACCGATAACATGCATGCCTTGTACCACGTACTCATGATGTGAATCGGGCAATTTTGGAGCCGTGCCTGCTTCTGAAAATGAAGACCGGTGGCGTCGCCTCTACCACACAGCAGGTGCAAAGACCAATCTGGACCTTTTACCTTCCCTGTGGACTAGACGCTGTATGCAAGCACCAGAAGTACTTACTGGGTAGCAGTTTCTTTATTTCTAGCTACGTCTGTCCCCTGTCAACACTTGTGCAGGGAGTCGACACTTTCCAACGCTTCTACATCTCAGTCCTTTTACAAAAGCCTCCAGATGATTTAACCCTAGTTTGTAATGTTGACCTCTGGGCTGTCAGTGTTTGAAACATTGTATTCCTTTTTTGGGTCTCTGTTGTTCCGAAGAATTGTACTGATTACAGAGATATGTGCATAAAGATTCTCATTGTTGTAGCTGTTGTGCAGTTTTCTCTCAGAGCGCATGTGTAGAATACTGTCATGCCCTTAACATTCCCCTTCCTCTCCAGCCTTTTCCCCTCCATGGTCACACCTTCCAGGGAACCCGCCGTGTAAGCTCCATCTCCTCCAGTCTGATCACTGGGTTACAAGGTGGCCTGTGACCTTTGGAGAACTTGGCAGAAGAGCGGGTTCCTATGAGTAAATGGAGAGTTTATTTAAGAATGTGTGTGTGAATGTTCGTGTGTGTATAAAATTAACCTTTAGATTTGTCATTTTCCTTTGTTTTAATAAAACAAAACAATAAGAATGCAATTTAGCTTCCTGGTCTTATGGATTCTAGATGAACGGAGAGTTGTGATCAAGTGTGTAGCTGCAGCCTAACCCCCTCACGAAGTTCCCCTTTACTCTTTCTGAGCCCCCCTCTTTTTTTTTTTTTTTTTTTTTTGCTGTCTACAGCAATCATTTGAGGCAGTATTTAAAATACAGTGTTTTTCCTAATTAGAAAAGTGGTATGTATTTTAAGAAAATTTGCAAAACAGAGCATAAGGAATCATCAGTATTCTGGTATGGGCTTTTCCAGTATGTTCTTGTTTGTGTGTGTGTGTGTGTGCAGATAGGTAGATTAAGCTGTCTTTCCAGTAAATGCGCTTACACAGTGGCATTTTCAGTGACTAGTACACCATCCCATGTTCATGCCAGAATTCACATAACCAGTACCTTGTCAGACAGGTCGTTCCCATTCACAGGTGGTTCTTTGAGCCAGCGCACCTTATACTTACCTCTTTGTGACCAGCCTTAAGTGTTTCCTCCGGGTCTGTGCACTGAGGTGGTGGTGCTGGGTCAGAAAGTATGAATGTTTCTAAGTCCTGTATTGTCAAATTGCTACCCTTAAAGGCTGACCTTCTCATACAAGCTGTGAATGAGAATGCCTGCTTCTCTCCACCCTTGGATGAGGCAGCAGTCTCTCTTTTATCTTTTTTTCTAGGACATCCAGTATTGATAGAAGCAGTGATAATAGGCATTCATATCTCATTCCTGACTTTTAAGGGAACCATTAAGTAAGATGTTTGCTGAGATTTCTGGTAGGTATCTTTTATCAGGTTAAAGAAATTACCATTTATTCTTTGCTCGCTAAGAGTTTTTCAAAAAGTCCTCAGTAGGTACAGTTGACCTTAAACCACAGGAGTTTGAGCTCCTCAGGCCCACTTATATGTAGACTTACTTGATAAATACAGTACCATAAATACATTTTTTCTTAACGATTTTCCTAACCTTTTCTCTAGTTTACTTCATTGTAAGAATACAGTATATAATGCATATAACATACAAAATACGTGTTAATTGATTTTATGTTATTGGTAAACCTGCTGGTCAACAGTGGGCTAATAGTAGTCAAGTTTTGGGGGAGTCAGAAGTTATATGTGGATTTTTGACTGTGCCTCTAACTCTCCCATTCTTCAATGGTTAATTGTATTGAACTTTCTCAAATGATGTCCAATTGCCTCCTCAGAGAAGAAAGTGGTGTTTGAGATTTGAACTTGAACTTGAGAAAATAACCATTACCAGGTTTCATCTAAGAGTATTAGGTATTTTAGAGCCGGAAGTGATGGCAGTAAAAGTTTATGTGCAAATTTTCATTGCAGCAAATTCACTAGTAGAAATTTGGAAAGAATGTAAACATTTGATAATGGGGGAAGTGGTTGGTTGGGTGAATTATGACTCATCCATAAGATGGAAATGCAGTGGCCCATGAGTGGCCCCATTGAAATGACTGTTCTCTATTACCCACATGAAGAAGTTTAAAGTCAGCTAAGTCTGGATACAGTCAGCCAGTGGGATACAGCTGTGGATGGGAAGCCCTTACTGGATGGTGATGAAAAGCAGGCAGAAAGAACCAGGCAGTGGTGCTCAGTCAAATGGGGACTGAGTGGGGACTGGGAGACTGTTGGGTGGGATCAACTCTCAAGAGGTTCCCAGCTGGCCATCTCCCGAACCTGAGTTACATCCTTCTTGGAGCTCAGCTCTGGTGAGACCCACTGATGACCTGAAAATCATGCTCCATCCCATCCTCTTCACCTTTTCTGGCACTGCCAATCCTTATCTGATTGCCCCACTCTGCACCCAAGGGGCCTCAAGAATCCTGGAGTTAAGAAAACCAGAGAGTTCAGTGTTACTCAATATTTGCATTCCTGCTACAATTCAAGTTTTCCTTTAGGCAGTGCTGATTCTTGGAAGGAGGTGAATCAATTCCCTCTAAGGGACCAACAGGGCTGGGTGGAAACTAACTGGTACCTCAACCCAGATGTTTCCCCATCCCTGAGAAATCCAGAAATCTGTATTAAAACAAACAAAAATCCAAGTAATTTTGACACTGAGCTAGATTTGGCCACCACTGGTCAATCTAACCTACTCTGACGGTCTCTTCACTAGAACTTACCCCACCCCCCACCGCAGTGATTATATGTTGCTGCTCGGTGATCCTTCTAAAATGAAAAACTGATCTGGCCATCCCTCTGGTCAGAATCCTTCCATTGTTCCCCATTTTCTAGAGGATAAAATCTAAAATCCTCATCTTAGCGTGATCTGGCCTATGGTTATTTTTTGAGCCTATTTTCTTACCATCTTTCCCATTTGTCACCTTCTACAACCCATCATCAGCGCAATAATATCTACCATTTGTTGAGTTTCTATGTGCTAGGTGCTCCATATTATTATGTTATCTTGCTTA